CACCTACAGGACCAGATGAAGCACCCAGTCCAAGCTGCTGAGGAGCTTTGGGAGGTGTAGCAGGAGACATACCAGTTGAAGGAGCAGCCGATACTTTAGATGCGCAAGATCTATCTTTTTTTTCGGAGTCTTTACATGCACCTTCAGGTTTTTCAGCCTCAGTGGGAGGCGTGTGAGAACCACGAGCTTCTTCCGCCGACACGTAGACAGAGGAAACGCTTAAAAGAAATGCCAGAAAATACAACACGGATCGCATCATCATCAAAAATAGGAGTTATTCTTCATTTTTCACATAAAATGGTTAAAGAACAAAAACGGGAATGTGAGCAAAAAGAAAACGTCAGAATACAAATGACAAAGAATAACAGCTAAGGAGCATATAAAAAAGCAGGAGTCAATCAAAAAAGAACTAACAATATAATAAAGTGCAAAATAAACAGCAACAAAGAAAACTAAGGAAAAGCAGTTAAGCTCCTGAACAGCTACCTATCAAACAATCACATCTGCTAAGAGCGAGTTATTTTAGCTTCAATAAGCAATTACGAATACGAACGTATATCTGTTATAATGTTTCATCTCGGCACAAATACGATTATCAATACTTCTAGTACAAAGACGAAAACATGCCAGCAAAACAAAAGTAAAAAAAACATATATTATCAATAAGCTCAACTTCCACAGTAAACATAGAAATACATCAATTATGGGTATAAGTCTATATGTGTATATACGGAAATATGAATATAAATTCATCTGTTATTATTATTTCCTTTCTTTTTCACTGCAAAAAACAGTTCATCATTATCATCATCACAGTGCAAGCCCAGGCACACACACACAGATTCTCCAATAACACACACACACACAATGGAGTAGCAATAAATATAATTATAGGATAAACACAGAGAGCAAAAAACACACAAAACACATTAACATTAAGAAACAAAAAAAGAAGATAATCTCAACAGGTGAAAGATTAGTTAGACTGTAGGGATGCATGCAAAAAAGAAAACAAAACAAAGCAGGATAAGCTGAGTCACACCACCACCACCACTACAATCACAATCAGCACACAAGAACATTGGCCAGTGTAACCACAATCAGTAGAGACGCACTCA